CGAGTCGACCCCGGCCCGGTTCCACTCCGTTTTTTTTTAATAAAAAGAAAGAAAAAAATGTTCTAATAAACCCTAGTAATGCAAATGCACCTATTATTTATATGTCATGCAATTTAATAGAATTTTTTTTTGTTTATGGGTTAAATATTAATCCCTAGTTTTCTATGCAATAATTTTAATTGGATAATTAAAATTTAGGTGTCAACATTTCCCAAAAGCACGAGCTAATTGAAAAAGTTCATACGTTTGAACTTGAAGGCGCCTCTCATCTCTGTTCACGCTTGAATATTCGTGTATGTGAGCCATCAGCTATGAATTTCGTGTTCATTGTCTGTTGTCCCATTTGTGATTTCCCCTATGCTTATTTTAATTGACCTTTTCGCTCAATTTCTTTATTTTAATTCTTTCGGAAGAGAAGAAAGAAGGGCTTCAATCGGGTCAGGCACTAAAGGTTAGGCGGTGACAAAGGCCCACCAACCAATTGAATGATGCCACGTGGCTAGCCACGCAAAGGACACATTTCCTTATTGCCATTCTTGATGTAATTGGAGAGGAGATAGTGTGTGTCTTGCGACAATAGTTACATGGTGTAACGAGCCAAAAAAGAAGAAAAGTTTTGAAACTTAAATGCAAAAATCTAATGGAAAATGTATATTATGCAAGCCATGTGATTGGTTGGTTAGCTGCTTTGATCTAGTGATCGACACATAACATAGTTTCTTGTGATTGGGGCTCATAGACCCACAAAAAAACTAGTCTTTCAATACACAATATCGAGCTTTTGACGAAGCCAAATAGCATTCTAGCAATATGTAAATTAAAATACAGAATGATTTGTCCATAATTACTAAACTTTAGTATGTGATAATAATCGGCACGAAAGATGATCCTATGCATAATTACCAAAGGTGACTACAAAAGGACTAATTGAATCTCCATGTCTCTTTGCTTCTGTGGTAGGCAAAGGTCTCTTTACTTCTGTGGTAGGCAAAGGACAGGATCAGTTAAAGGAACTCAAAGCAAGAAAGGAACTGTGTCCGAAGATTTATTAAACTAGAAGTTTTGAACCTTTATGTACTATAAAAATGGCCGATTTGGTTCATCTGTGGAATAAACGAGGTGACTGCTTTCGATATTGTCTTTAGATCGTCGAAGAAGCAAGTTTTCATATTGGAAGGTATGTAATTTTCAAAACGATTGATATTTCCTTTCCTTTTTCTTTTGCTAATTGTCTAATATTTCCTTTGTTAATTCTAATTGTCTTCAATCTTGATGCTGGATAACAAACTTTTCATTATATTCTTTCTTAATTGGTTCACTTTATTTAATGATGTTAATATTTTATCAATATAATAAGTTTTGTTTCCTACAGCATTAGGACAACCATTCTTTCTCTAGTTAGCTCAAAGTGTCCTTTCTTTTCACTCCTTTTCGCCTCCGCACTCCACTGGTTGACCCTGCAAATTTTAGTTTGCACTTTGCACGACATCGCCCATGAGCGGCGATATATGCCATCTCCAGCTGAAAAATCGATTCTCGGAGCGACCAATCTCCAGTCCAACGAAACAGGACGAAATAAAAGACCTGCTAAACACTCGCCTAGTGGTGGCAACACTAGCGACCTTGGGAACTTTCTCTGCCGATATGCCATTCCTAGACTTGAATTTGAACCCGCGACCAAAACTCGATACAAAGCCCTACCATGTGATTTAAATTAGGAAAGTCTTCATTCGACTTTTGGTTGACCAAACATATGAAGTAACAATAAATCCTTGTTGGAGTTGGATTTCTAGTTTCAGTCGACTAAAAAGGGATTTGCTATTTTGGATTTAAATATCATAAATACAAGAGGTGGTTTTTGGTTTTAGCGCATTAAAGTAAACAAGAAGGGTATTAGTGTTTTCTCTCTATGAGTTTTTTAAGTAAGTTCTCTGTGAGAGATTGTAAGATAATACTTGTGGGTTTTGCTTTATGTTTAATTCAGGGCTGGGAAACGCTTGAGCGATTGTAAACTTTGTATTCTCAGAATTCAGAGTGGATTTCTTGGCGGGTGACCTTCTTGTGAAGTATCGACATTTAAACCGAACCACGTAAATCTCTAGCATTCTTTTAGTATATTGTTGATTTCTCTAGTAATTTCTTCTTCTCGTGTTAGAATTGCATAGTAAGATCTGTTAACTTCCATGTTATTTCGCAACAACTTAGAGCCAAAGTGAGGTTTGTCGAGTTGTTTAGAGCTTTTACTTGTCTGATTACTATATGGAAACGTTGTGTTTGCAATTATGTCCAGAGCAAGAGTTGAGATTGATAAGTTCAATTGGTGGGAATTAAGAAGCGTGCCTTGTCAACAACTCAAAGTATGGCGTAGACATTGGATGGAAAGGATAAATTGTTAGAAAGTTTCGGTCCAACATTTGAAGACATTTGTTAGGCCCTTGCAACTAAGAGGGAGGTGGCTACTTTTTAGGGATAATTATATAAAAAGTCCTAAATCTATTGTACGATGGCCAATTCAATCATAAATATTTCAATCTGTCAATTTAGTTCAAACCTTTTGACGATTTGCCAATTTACTCATGAATCTTTTGATTGTGTCAATTTAGTCCTAAACCTTTTGAAAATTTGCCAATTTAGTCCTAAACCTATTATTTGGATTATTGGCCGGAAGGACTAAATTGATAAATCATCAAAAGGTATAAGACTCAGTTGGCAAATCGTCAAAATGTTTATAACTAAATTGACATAATTGAAATGTTTAGGATTAAATTGACCGCCATACAATAAGTTTAGGACTTTGTGGACAATTTTTCCGGATTTTTTAAGAAGATATAAACTAATTTTGTATAACCAATCCCAATGAAAATTATGCTTCTTCCTCAATGTAAATTAGCTTTATAAACAACGGAAATTAAAAAGTTTAGAAAAAGAGAAGTTGCAAATGAGATTTATAGAGATTCGTTTCGGGTGTGCCTACTTTTCTTTCCAGCTCTAGCGGCACACCTGACTTCCTTCTATGGTACCCCCACTATACACTAAGTATGGTCATTCTGACACTTTGTACACACAACATAGTACATTTTCTCCCCAAACTATAAACTACACCTTTGAGTATTTACAAAGGGTCCATTATACATTTTATCTCTCACCTAGACAAATGTCTTCACTCTTAGTACTTACAGCCACTACTCTCGTATGTTTGTGAATGGGTTTGTCGTTTTTGCTAACTCTTAGGAACAACACTAAAATGGGTGACACAAGCTCACAAAAACAGACGAACTCAAAATCTCACAGTGATGCTTAAATTCTCTATTAAATTTTATATCCATCTAATCCTTGTAAAAATTCTTGGCAAAATTTCTTGAAAAACACATGCAGAACCTTGCTTCAATCTGGGCTGTCCGTCAAATCTTCTATTAATGCAGGTTTTGATCACATCATTTCACCAATCTCCTGAGCAAATTAGTCCGTCATTTTTTGTGCAAAGAATCTTTGATTTACGCTTAATATTCTGAGATACAGAACAAAAAGATCCAACTTATAAATACCCTCAATTGTTGCATGTTCAGAAAGATATATAATTATTTTAGATTTTGTCTGTGAACTTTTACATCATGTTACAACGGTTCTAACATGCAGTTACATTGCAAATTTAACAATCTTTTTGGATGGCTTTTGGACTATCTATATTTAAGAGTAAGCAAAAGAGCCGGACCGAACCGGCTGGTTCTAGGCGATTCCCGGTTCCTAAAATTTGGAACCTCGGTCTAGTTCCCAATTTCAGGTGAGGACCCACCCACCTAGACTTTCCGCACCGGACTGATTATTATTATTTTTAGTTCTTATTATTCCAAATTTCCAAAACCTAATTTCTATTCTTTTCTTGCTCAAACTCACTCACACTCGTCGCTCACACCTCTCACTCTCACTTCTCTAGTTTTGCTTCAGGAATGGCTTCTGCTATAACACAAAGTCCAAACTACCGCAAACACAATCCCTACTTCAAAAAGGCTCGCCATCGACAGTCCTTGGCCAACGGCTGGGATGTGCCCAATCGTACAAGCATAGACCACAAAACACCCCCCACCTCGAAAGAAAACAAACAAACGACTCCGTTGGCGTCCATAATTACAACTAAGAAGGCTAGATTGACCTATCAAGAACACATGGCCAAATGCACTCGTCCGAAATGGGTGCAAGGATCATCCTCGTCGGGGGAGTGGCAAAAAAAAAAAGGAGATATGGACGGTTTCTTGACCCACCCGGAAATCAGACCGGATAGGCCGATCTAGTTCCCGGATGGGTCCAGGATCAGGTGGGCCGATTCCTGATTTCAGGGTGGGAACTGATGCACCCTAAAACAAATCACCCCTAATGACGATTATGTTATTAGGTCGTGATTCAGTTTAGGTTTATTTAAGGAAATCCAAGATCTGTTTTTAGGAGATAAAGTGGGTGTTAGGAGGCCAGGAGTTGTGTATGAGATGTAGTCTGCGTTTATCTTTGTTCGCCCTCGCGCCACCTGTCTCCGAACTCAATCCAGCAGCACTTCCCGGCAGCGTTTGCCATCTCTCTCTCAGAGAGACTTTTTGAGGGAGAACCTCTAATTTACACATCGATTCATTTTTTATTTTGAGGATTGTTTGTGAGCGCTTTTATAATATTTTGCTTGTTTAAAGTGGAACACCTTATCGATCTCTCTTCGCAGAGTATTATATCTGGCCGAACCACCACGCAAATCTGTGGCGACATTATATTTCTTGCACTTAAATTATTGCTATGAACCATTTGTATTTATTCACATTTCCACGATCTTGCGTACTAATTTTAAACGCGAACTTTCTATTCTGATGCATATAAAATTTTATTGGGGCACTATCAACTATTATAAAAGTTTAAATAATTAGATGAATACATTATTTAATATTTAAATTGATGTAACGTCTCCTTACACTAACCTTATTCCCTTGCAATAACTACATTACTCGCATAGCTTAGGCTCGATGGACGTAAAGCTATCTATAGGAGAGGAGGACGTTGTAATGAACAACTCGATCACGGAGGTTAAGAAGGATGAAGGAGGAGCTTTCGTGGAAATGTTAGAGGATGAAATGGATCCTTTGGAGGAAGAAGAAATCTGGAGGAGTCGCCGGGAGAGAATGAATAGTGCATTGGCAGCTGCGCAAACCGTGTTGCGACAAGATCCAGCAAAAGTGTATGCAGCTGCTCGAAGACTGGCTGATGTCATCAAAGAAGCTGATATCGAAGAGTTCATGTCTGTGATCGAAAGGCTGGCCTGTCACAGCGATCTGTCTGCCATTTTGAGTTTCGAGGGGCTATCGAGGGGTTCTCTGCTCCACATTGCAGCAGGCACCGGCAAGGACGACATCTTAAGGCTCCTGGTTGATTCTGTCGCTGACCATCTCATAGCCGCCCAAAATGACTGGGGAGATACCCCCCTTCACCTCGCTGCTAAGGCTGGGGGATCTAGAGCTACCGCGATGTTGATTCACCGGGCAAGAGACCTCCCCAACATTGAGATCAAGTACCTCCTGAGGATGAAGAACAAACATGGAAACACTGCTTTGCACGAGGCCGTGCTTAATTGTCACGCCAATGTGGTGCGCCGTTTGTTGAGGGAAGATTTGGAGCCCGTGTACTGGAAGAACGCAGATCAGAAATCTCCCCTGTACCTGGCTCTCGACACCCGCGACTCTGCAATACACGACGTTTTATTTTCGCTCTCGCTCGAACCATCGAGGATAGAAGGCTTGCCGCCTGTTCATGGTGCCATTATGCGTAAGGAATATGGTACGTACCTAAATCTGCTTATGTTAAGTATCTATCTACGTGTAAACTGATCTGGTCCCAAATTTGGCCAACGATTTTCTGCACTTGTCCAAAACCCGTTAGGTTTTTACATAAAATTCTAGACCCGCTTATTAAAGTAGTTAAATACCCATCAGATACCCGTAACCAACCATATAATTCTTTTAGTAAACAAATTATCTCACATTGAACATACTAGATCAGCTTATATTTACAAACAGAACCAATTTACTAAAACTCGTGTTTTTTTTTTTGGTAAGGAAACTAAAACTCGTGTTGTTGATCAAAGATTAGAAAAACTACAAAGTGCAAATATTTAAGATTGACAATCATAAAAATCTAGAATCTAACAATGACAAAAGGAGAAAGATAAGCTCGAAAGGATGATTGTTGATGATAATGTTAGATTACAAATAATCTTGTTTGACGGTTCATCTTTAGTTTTGTAACGGAGTAAATTTAGTTTGGTAAATGACTTATCATTTTATGGTTTGGGATTTACCTGTCAGGTTAACTTAAAAACCATCTCAAATCCCAATGGAATTAGAATATGAATACTGGCTAATTAAATAACCAAATATCAAGGAAATAAGCGAATTTAATAATTAATACATATTCGATTCGGATATCGGATTTCACAGCTATAAAACGTCAAATACGTCCCAAACTCTATAAGATTTTTAGCATTTGACCCTGAACCTGTCCCACTTCTCCAATAGAAATGGGCATAGAGCGGGATGGGGCGGAGCTTTCCTCAGCCACTCCATTGCACCCACACTTCTTTATTGATCTTTAAATCAATCATAGTTTATTATATATGACTATTTAAAATTTCATAGTAATTATCCTATTTTTATTTCTTCATGAAGATATATCATTTTATTTTTTTTTGTATAATTTATTTAATTGTAATGATGAATCAATGTGATGTTAGATGAAAATAACTATAAATGTAATACAATAATACATATTTCAGTTTAATCATGAAGTTGCAGATAAGTGAATTTTAATATCTTTAGTTATATCTCATGATAATCTACATTCTAATGCATAACTTGTAATTGATATACGTTAAACGTAGACGGAATCCCATCTTTTCCATCACATTAGCATTTTGGCGGATCGACTATCTCATCATAGTTGCCTGCTTCCATATACCGTGCAGCCACAATGTCAGAATGCTCCATTCTCTTTTCATTAAGTAAAATAAAAAATACTTAATTTGCCACTTAGTCCATAAACGATGTACTCAAGGAATTTTCCAACTTTAATATTTTTTTATAACTAAAACAACTTTAATATAAGTAGTGTGTTAATTTAACTATAGCATGATATAAGAGACACTAAACAAGTAAAATTGGCTCTTGAAAGAATTTTAGTTGATTTCTTTTCCATGGATTAGTCATCTAAATGATAAATAAATAACATGTTTCTATTATTTATTGGATAATGACCATGGGTGATCCATGAGCTTTTCGTCAATGTTCAATGTAGTTCCTAATTTTTGTTTTTGTTCAAGTTAGTCCTTGAACTTTCAAAAATCCCCTCAATATAGTCCTTCCGTTAAAAATTCTTACATCATTAGCTGACGTGACCATAATTTCTATTAGCTTGACATTATTAGATTTGCTATGTCGGCGTTCATGTGATTTACATGTGGCTTTCACGCCATCTCTCTCTCTCTCTCTCTCTCTCTCTCTCTCTCTCTCTCTCTCTCTCTCTCTCTCTCTCTCTCTCTCTCTCTCTCTCTCTCTCTCTCTCTCATTATTTTAGCCCAAAAAGAAAAGAAAAAAAAGATTTACTGACTTGGGAAAATGACGTGATAGTCCACGTCAATATTTGGCTCTATAAATGCTAACATAGCAGTTTTTGTTAGAAAAATGCATGTGACGTGGCATTACACTTATTGAAAGTACTCCACCGAGGGAATTTTTGAAAGTTCATGGATTAAATTGAATATAATGAAATTTATAGACCACATTGAATATTGAAGAAAAGTTTAAGGACCATTAATGTCAATTCCCCTGAATAAGAGCCATGCATATTGTGTGGGGTCATATATAATTTTCAAGTTACCAGTGACCCCATAAGTGAACATATGCACACATACATGATTCACCACAAAAAAATAATTATACATTTTCAGATAATTCGAATTGTTATATTATATAGTGTTTCTTTAGATATGTCGATAACATTACCCAAGTAATGCAAGTTGAAACTAATCTTGCAGCCTCTTTTATTCTATGCATGTAATTATGTATTTACCTTGTCGAATCGCATTTTCATGTTGGACACGCATTAAAAATCCCTAAAAGGAATATAGAAGGTCCTCATACATACTAAATCCCCGCATAAATCTTAGTAGTTCAAAGTAAGTAAAACTTAAATGTTAATAGTGATCTTCAATCGCAGAATATTTCTATGGAATTTGTGCGTATTGTCACGTATCTGTATGCAAATTAGGAGATAATATGTATATTTGATTTTTGAGAATGAGATTGTCACATATCATACAAAACTTAAAAGATCAAGAGTGATAAAGTACAAAGGGAATTGCAAGGTATGGAATTTATAAATTAAGTCGATGTTGAACTTAAACATAAAATAATAAAGGAATGACCATGCCACTCATAAGTATTTACTGTCTGGTTGATTGATATGAAGTCGTTGGACATACAAAAATTTTACGAAATTTATATCATTTCACCATATTATGTTACCTCTATATAATTTGAATGTGCAGAATTTTAAATCTGTAAAACGTACGGGTCTCCAACTTAATGTTATATATGTGACGATTATACATTTATGTAATGGCGGTGCCACATATTTTAAGTTGGGTCGATCGGGTCGCACACAATTTTAAATATTTTAATACTATTTAATTTTTTTTAAATGAATATAATAGTTGACACCATTGTTTTTTGAGCTTTGATACCCACTAAATTTCTTAAACAATAATTGGACGCCAATAGAACTCAAAAAAATCCAAGTCCTAACAAAACATGCATGAATAGTAAAATTCACTCAATTATTTAAATGCTTAAACACAAACAAGAATAATTAAAAATTGAGTTTTTTTAGTCATAAACTTTCATTTTCATGTGATTGTAGTCTTCAAAACTTTCTTTTCGTATCATTATTGTAGCGCATATTTTAGTAACTTTTAGCTTATTTATGTCAGCTATATAATTACATTGAGATGCGAGATTACATGCAAGATTTGTGATCTAAATGTTATTATAGTTTCTAAAACTAATTTGATTGTAATTTTAATTAATTTTGTGCACGTGTCCTAATTTCAATATATGGTTCGGCTACTTTGGGAATTTTTTGTATAGCCTACGAAATTATTTTGGGACTAAGTTAGCCAAGAGCAAGAAACATGCTACGTTTGAAGCGAATGAGAGTCATGAACCAAAATGAACAAATGAGAGTTTAGGGCATGAATTTTAAACTAGAAGGGTCCCCGCGGGCATAAATTTTTTTAATTGTGTAAAATTGCAATATGTTTTTTATTATAAAATAATTCGTTGAATCGTATTTTATTTCATATAAATTTCCTCTTTTGAACAAAATAAATTCTTAATTATTAGTTCATATTATATATAAATATAACGCATAAGGATTCGACAACAGTTAGAAGATTCCTAATTTTCTTTTGTAATTAACGATATCATTATGGTCTACTTCATAGGAAGAGATACAGAAAATGTTATAATTTCCAATCATGGCTAATTTGCAATTAGAGCTCACTAGAACTAATGTCATTACGATTAATGTTTCTTTTATCCAAACTTATGGTATTGAAGGAGGACAGCACAAATCCCAGTTTGGAGAAAATTGAGTGAAGAGTGCAAGAAAAATAACCAATCCCTTAACAATTTTTTTTTGTCGAATCCCTTACAAATTAGAGTCCTATGTATCGCTTTTAGAAGCAGTCATTAAGGAAGAACTTATTGTTAAATTTATATAGGTGTTTCAACGGTCTTAACTAATATGCAAAAGTCATTGGGCTTTTAGTGTTAGGGACGTAAATTTTTCTGGTGGTGTGTTTTAACTAGGGTTTACATGATCACATGCAATGCGCATACAAGACAGAACAGATTATGTGATTTATCGAGTGAGAATATCTTTCCCAGAATCACAAAAAGTTCATAAAATATACTAGGGAAATGGCAAACGCACGTGGTTTAATTACATGGCTATGTATAATGAGAATTAGTGGTAAGTGGGTAGTTATGGGTGCAAAGCAATGATAATTTTAGTAATACAAAAGGGAGACAAATGCCACTCTTTCATAATACAAATAGGACGTGGCGAGTATAAATGAAAGAGTAATGGCAAAATGTATTATAGTTTTATTAAGAAAACCTTACTAAATGATCTCGCATATCTCATGTCATACCGGGGAAAAGAAGCCATAAATTGAGCAAGATCAAGGCTTCCCTATTCTATTATTTTTTCTTTGTTGAGTACCACAATTCCTAAGAGCATTATTACCTGTCTTTGAAGTCCAATGGCCATCAGCAATCCACAAACACCCTTCTCAGACAATTGAAGCACCTCTCCCACATTATTTGAACTTCTTTACTAGCACCTCTAGATTTTACATTTGGGGCCAAATCGACTTCTTTTGGTTGAGCCTTGTCCTTTTGCTGTAATTTGTGATTTATAAACTCTACTTTTTGCAAACTTAGAAAGTGATTCTGGTCATATATTTACTTAAGTCTTTACTCAAAAGTTTTGGTAAATCATAGTGCGTGGATGTCGCGTTGCTTTGTATGAAAATGGTCGGAGATTTGTCTAAAGTCTCTCCAAAATACATTAACGGGATCCTTTCGAAATTTATCTAGAGTCTCACTGGTCATGTTCCATCATGCTAGAGAAGGAAAGTCAAAATGCTTGAGGAGTCATAATTTTTTGATACGAACATTGGTTAGGAAACCTTTCAAATCATTTGATTTATTCAATGAAGATTATCACAACTAGTTTCAGCATTGAATCTAGTCCAACATCGGCGACTATGAATCCTAGTAGTGATTAAATTTACGTCGAAGATGTCCTTATCGCAAAAATGGATTAAAAATATAGCGAAATGAATCAAGCCCCAACCTCCGTAAATGTTTATGCGGATGTGGTCCCTAATTTGGAGCTCCTGATCCTAGATTTGGTCGTCGAGATAAGCAAAAAGAACATGAAGCTATTTGCAATGGCTGACTCCGGAGGCGGTAATGCATTCCATTTAGCAGCTTACAAGAATCGGACCCCAATATTCGAACTCTTACGACCAGAAACTGAATATTTGGCCCGAGAGAAGGACATGGATGGGCATCTTCCTATTCATATCGCAAGCAAGATGGGTCATGTCGAACTAATCGAGAAGCTGTATCCGGTATCACATTTGCTAAACAGGCGAGGACAAACTGTTCTTCATGTTGCAGCAAAATACGGGAGAACTTCAGCAGTGAGATATATACTCAGACATCCAGAACTAGGGATGTTGATAAATGAAAGAGATCATGATGGAAATACACCTTTGCACTTGGCCGCGATACATTCACAACCTGCCACTTTGATTCCTCTCATGCAGGATGAAAGAATTCAGCTCATCCTTCTCAACCACGAATGCTTGACTGCTCTTGACGTTGCTCTAGAAAGTATGAGGAGGGAGTATGCGTTTCGAAAGGTATGTAACATGGACAACCACTATTTTATTTATCAACTTACAGGATATTTGGTAGACTAATCCATTAGTTAAACGCAGATCTCGTATATATGGAAATCATTATCTCTCCCAGCCGACAAGATTGTTGAAGTATTGACCAATTTTCTAGAATAGCCGAGACTCCTCTAGGATTAATGTTGTACAAGTCTCTAATTTAGTCTTAATAAAAGGCAGTCAAAGTTTGTGGCGATGAATATGTTCACGGTTAGAAACAAGTGAAGTATCTCTGACAAATGCAAAGATAAATGGTTATACATTTTGATCAATTGAACCTATAAATTCAGAGATAAATTGTTATATATCTCAATTGATTGAGCCTATAAAACGCGGTGATTGTCAATGTTGCATTCTTTTTTCGTTAAAAAGCTAGGAGTCAATGTGGCAAATTTGACCACTCTAAATATGGCATAGTCTCGTAACGTTATCATAAAGTCAACGGATGGCAACGATAAACCATAGGGCTTTGCAAGCATAACAGTCTTTGGGCTACCGTGAGAGTAACAGTATATTGTGAGCCATAAATTCTTGAAAGAGTGAACCCCACAACAATTTCTAACTATTTGTTATTTGTTTTTTTGTGGTCCAAAAGAAGTTGTTAATCTTATAGTAGATTAAGTACTGTCACATAAGCATCACTCTAAACCATAAACACTTCATTCATGCCTCTTTTCTCATTAAAATGAACCTGTACTCGAGTGTTAATTCTTCAAAAAGAACAGACACTGCATCTATACAAGTAGAAGTTTCCCTTCAAATGAGTTACTCCAGAGTTCATTCCGATTATCGATATGGTAACAATTTGTTCTTTTTTTCCTTTTGACATTTTTCCTCTCAGTTAATGGCATTCATGGTGTTGGAATACATGTCAGCTGTAAGCATAGACTTACTCGTACTTAGGCCGGAAGCTCGAGATAAAGCGTATCCAACATACGAAGAGTTCGAAAAGAAGACGAATATGGAACAGGCGAAGGATGTGATCAATACCCGTTTGCTGGTGGCAGCGCTTGTAGCCACCGTGACTTTTGCAGCTGGTTTCGCAGTTCCTGGAGGATTTAACAGCTTGGACAAGGCCTCCAAAGATAAACTGGGAATGGCTATGATGTTGGACAAGACAATGTTCCATGCCTTCGTGATTTGCAACACCATTGCAATGTTCTGCTCAATGATCGCGGCCGTCAACCTCATGATGGCGCAGCAATGCGACGTCCTCAAGGCGGTAGCTGCATACCAGCACTCAAAACTGCCGCTAACAATTGCACTCCCGGCTATGTCCGCCGCTTTCATAACTGGTGTCACCTTGACAGTGGGCAAACTCCCTTGGCTTGCTCACTCCATATTTTATTTGGGACTCGTTTTCCTCCTCGTTATCTTAGGTGCTAAATTGTTAGAGTACCCTCAATTCTTTTGTAGCCGCTATCGTCCTATCCGTCTAACAATATTCTGGCTATTTCTCGCTTACATCAATTGGTGGGGAGTTGAGAGGCACCTTCCGAATGACTCGGAAGAGGACGAGAAGGCAAGCGGGACCTCCGCTAGTCAGCCTCTGGATGGTGCTGTTGAATCAAATGACTTATGACTGGGCGACAACGAAATGTCGGGACGCACCACGTCATCCTAATCCCTAGTTTCAGTTGATCAATCCAGATTATCTATGATTTGCGGAAATAAATATATATTTGCCTTGTGTATTTGGCTCATTCTACAGTTGCTTTCTATTTTATCAGATCAATGGTGATTGTTGAAGTATTTGAATTAAGTCACGTCCTCCTCTAATAGCTTAATTCTTCGAATAGTTGGATGTAATTTCATAAAATTTTACATGGTATTTAAACATGAAATTCTGAGTTCAAACCTTTCCATGTGCTATTTGCCTCCTCCAATATAGTCTCCAGACACCATGCACCTGCTCCATAAGACATTTTGTGATTCACAGGATCCATAGAGTGGCAAGTGGAGAGCATACTCACAACCAGATCATCGTATCAAGCAAACAATACAATTCTAAGCCTAAGATAGGATCACACTGAGGTAGGAGAGGGAAATTTTAGAGAGACATGATGAAGGAGGAGTGTTGAAGTTTTTGTAAAAACTCAGTCTTATTCCACAACTGAACCTTCTTACCCTTTTATAGGCAATGCCAATGGTATTACAGACTTTTACACACTCATAGTAGACAAAGGTAGAAGAGTTGTGTGTGTTGGAAAATATCCCTATGAGATTTTGATGATTACCAAACTATCTCTTTCGCTGATATTTATAATGATGAGTGCAGATAGTGAAACTGGTTATAAATATCAGTGATCCTCCATGTTTGCAATGACAAGATACTGGTCCTTGACGTTTAGGAGAACAAGTACCGATGAGGGTATATCGTGGTAGCTTGGAAGGACTAATCAGTCTAGTGATCTTGGAAGTCCCTGGCACTAATGAAGATGGAAAGATCACTGATTGCAACATTGCGTGATTTTCAGTTGGCATTATCATTGAAGATAGTCAGTTTGGTCACTTAGTATCCACACCGTTGATAGTGTGCATTGAACCGATATAGTGAAGTATCGGGTCTGATATGCACTAGAAGAAGACCGTTGATGGTTCAAAATATGCACTGCACTGAAAAAGACTATAGTATCTCAAGCATCAGGACTGATCATGGTGTTGAATTTGAAAAAAAAGAGCTTTGCTGATGACTGTGAGGAAAACGGAATCGAACACAGCTTATCATCTCCTTATACGCCTCAACAGAATGGTGTAGTTGAAAGGAAGAATAGAAGCCTTCCAGATATGGCAAGAACAATGATGATTGAAAGTAGCACTCCTGCTTACTTTTGGGTTAAAGCCATCGCAACATCTTGTTATATCATCAATAGAATGTTTTTACGTCCATTGTAGGATAAAACACCTTATGAGCTGTTCAAAGGAAGAAGAACTAACTTATGAAGAGATGTAGGAATTATTGAAAGAAATGTTTGAAGAACACAAAAAGGTTTCAAAAAGGGTTTTAGCTTTAAAGAAAGAAGTTCTTGAGCTCACTTCCAAAAACCTTGATTACAAGACTACTATTGAAAACTTCAAAAAGGAAAACGACCTCCGAGTGAGTGAAGTTATGAAGAGATGCAGGAATTTTTGAAAGAAATATTTGAAGAACACAAAAAGGTTTCAAAAAGGGTTTTAGCTTTAAAGAAAGAAGTTCTTGAGCTCACTTCCAAAAACCTTGATTACAAAACTACTATTGAAAACTTGAAAAAGGAAAACGATCTCCAAGTGAGTGAAGTTAAACTTTTTCAAGTTGAAAATAGTACTCTCAAGGAAGAAATTTCAAAAATCAACACCAAACTTCTCTTGGTTCAAAAAAATTGAAGCACATTCTCTCAATTTAAATTCCTCACTACAAAAAATATGGTTTAAGACATGAGAAAAATGATACTGAGAAGAATTCCTTTCCAAAAACTCAAAAAAGATTGAAACGAAAACCTCATGTATATCTTTATAAGAACCATCATGTAAGACACTTCACAAGATCTACAAGCAAGCAGTTTCCTGATTGTTCGATTTGCAATGAATTTGGTCATTTCAAGTTAGAATGTCCAAACAAGCAAATGAAGCCCAAAAAGATTCACTGGAAAATCGATATGGATTCAAAATCTAACAAAAAAGGACCCAAGCTTACGTGGGTACCAAAGAAAAGATTAGAATCTTTTTTGGTGCAAGTCATCTTGAAGAAAAACAAATGGTATCAAGACTGTGGATGCTCGCGATATATGATTGGAGACAGCTCCAAGTTTATAAATCTTACTGCTATAGATGGAGTTACTGTCACTTTTAGAGCAAAAGACAAAGGAAGGATAGTTGGCAAAGGAAACATTAGGTTGGGAAATTTGATCATTGAAGATGTTTCCCTCATCAAAGGTCTGAATCACAATCTTATAAGTATAAGTCAATTATATGACAAAGGCTACAAAATTAGTTTTGTAGAAGGTAAGTGTACTGGTTTAAGCCAAGACAAGTCACAATCATTCACAGGTAAAAGATATGGTAACATCTACTTACTTAATATAAATTTTGATGATGTTCAATGCCTAATATCTATAAAAGATGAATGCGATCTTTGGCACAAGAAACTAGGTCATGTCAATGCAAAGCAGATTTTTAAGAAATCCTCAAAATATCTTGTTCGTGGCATATCAAAGATCAACTTCAACAAGTGTGATTCTTGTAATGCATGTACCTTAGGGAAGCAAGTCAGATCGTCGTTCAAATCAATAAATACAGTTGCTACTAACATATCTTTGCAGTTATTACACATGGACTTGTTTGGACCAACAAGGACCATGAGTCTAGGAGGAAGAAGATATTGCTCGATGATAGTAGGTGACTACTCACGTTTCACTCGGGTGTTATTTCTATCTCATAAGCATGAGGCATTTCGTTCATTTGAAAAGTTTGCTTGAAAGATCCAGAACGAGAAAGGATATAGTATCACATCAATCAAGACAGACTATGGATGAGAGTTCGAAAATTAAAGCTTTGGTGAATATTGCGATGAAAATGAAGTTGAACACCATTTCTCCACAACCTATACTCCTCAACAAAATGGTGTTGTCGAAAGAAGAAATCCATCATTACAAGAGATGGCAAAAACCATAATGATTTGAAATTCGTTGCAAAATTCGTGGGAAATACAAACTTCTGGGCAGAAGTAGTTGTTACTGCTTGCTAAAAAACAAAAATTTCCCAGGCTTGAAATTGTGGATGACCAGACAACAAGTAAGAAAGAGGCACCATGGAATCTGATGTATTCAAGCAATCGGTATACTAGGAAGAATAATTAACACATACAACATTACCAAGTTAGAAGTTTTGGAAGATTTGGAAATCTCCTGATTCAAAACCAAGCAGTCTAAATAACCTACTGAAAAGAATCAAAAAGACAACGCTGAAATATTCGAGAGTTATGTGATGCAAGACTTATATCTTTGCTAATGGAGAGGGATTTGAACCCCCAGTTTTCCTATCAATACTTCGGTCAATGGAAAACATCCTAGATAAAAGAGAATCATGGGGCACTATTGGCGTTCTCTATGTGTGGAAAAGTCAAAATGATTGATGCACAGAGAATACACAATTTAACCCCTAGTCAATAGCAACTCTAATAAGGACTTATCATCTCCTGAATAATGAAAAGAGTCAAGTTATCCCTCAACCAATCGAGTTCGCCGTCGCCCAGATCTGGGCGACGGCGAACTCGACCGGCGGCCATGGCGAGGCCGAGCCTCGCCATGGCCGTTCGGCCTCGCCCAGATCTGGGGGAGGCCGAAGCTGACCCCCCCGATCACGGCGACTTCCAAATCCAAAAAAGAGAGAGATGAGAGGAGATCAGCGCAGGATCGGAGCTTACGTGGAGCAGGAGCGAGCGAGCAAGCGGCCCTGGCTTCCTCTCGGCCGAAGCGAGCGAGCGAGTAGCCCTGGCTTCCTCTCGACGGCGACAGTGAGAGAGTACAGAGAGAGACGGGCTCCAGATCAGAGAGATGAGAGGATACGAGAGACATACATGGTTTTTTAAGAAATGATTCTGACCTTTGTTCCTCAGAAATGGTTCTGAGTTTTGTTCAAGAAATGAAAAACCAACTTTTTTTTTGTTCTGATTTATGGTTCAGAACCGGTTCTGGAACAAAAACTTGTCCCAGAAATAGAAAAATGAAATTGCGTTACCAAACGGGTTTCTGGTCCAAAACTGATTCTGAGAACAAAAAACCAGTTCTGGACTGAACCAGAATGGTTATCATGCGGTACCTAAGTGATCCGAAACAAACTTTTGGCACTAAAATGAGCATCGTACACAAGTTTTGGCACTTCTAGTGTTCTTCTCCCACAAATACTAGACACCACATTAGCAATTTCGGCACCAATTGGCCGGTAGGACTATATTGAGATTTCATACAAAGGTGTAAGACTACATTTGCAAAATTGAAAATTTTAGATCTTGTTTCGCCGGTTTTATCTCGTCGAAAATTTTTCACCGAACGTTGCGTTTCGGATTTTATTAGAGGAGACCAGGGTCTTGAGTCAAGCTCGGACAAAGAATGTCAAATGCGTCTATTAAACTCAACTTGTGCCTTACAACTTAACTCGATAATACACCCAACTCAACAATACTAACAATAGGATGACAACTTGCAAATGCCAAGACTAAGCTATATCGGAATCCAATCAACGACACAACCAGTACACAACATTACAATTCTAGGTACGTCAGAATCTAATCAATGACGTGCCCTAAGAGAATATGGCTGGAATCTAATCAACAGCTATATTCCAAGCACAACGCCGGAATCTAATCGACGATGTTAAACTGGTGGCGCAACATTGGAATTTAATCAACAATGCTGGACCTGATGAAGACTTGCGCTGGAATTGAATCTACAACGTGGAATCTAAAAGCTGTAACTATTACTACTCCTATTGTGCTGACAATAAAGATAGATAAGAGGTCTGTTGTCTTGTTCGGAGAGATCATTTTTTACGTCGGAAATCCTTGAGTATTTATAGAGCAGCCTGATAACTATCGATCGACTACTT